CAGACATTCGTCCTGATCGACTATTGTTTATTATCTTTACATACATACTCCTGAATTCCATTCTTCATGTTTTTGATCATCCAACTTTTGATAAAGTGAGCAGGAATTTTAGTAGTGTATGCAGTTGGTATCGATCTTTGATGAAAATTTTAGATAAATGAATCTCCTTCTAATAAAAAAGGGTCACGGACGAACATACCTCTCCTCTCGAGGTGATAAAACGCTTTTTCGAAGATCTGGTTTTCTAGAAAACCAGTTTTTCAAAAGCTCTAAATAACCAGAATCTTTCTTAATGAGCAATGATTATAGCCCGCAAATCAGCCGCATCTCCCAGCTCTACACGACCTTTCTTTGAAAAATTATAGAATTTACAAGAATTAATTTCTTCTTATTTCTGTAGCTTTGAGCTGATAATGAACATTTAGGGCTTTTCTTGTAAATTCTATAACTTTGCAAAGAAAGATCGTATAGAGCTGGAGGATGTCACATTTTAATCAGAAATTTGCGGGGTACAATCATGCCTCATTAAGAAAGGTTCTGGTTATTTAGAGTTTTTGAAAAACTGGTCTTTGAAGGACTAAGGGTCACTCTCATGGTCATACTCGGAATCAGCATGGTCAATAACCTATAACCCACTAGATTTCGAGAAAAAAGTGTTTTATCACATCGAGAGGTCCCCTTGTAAGAAGTGAGACAAGAGTTCTAACTCTAATAGAAGTATATACACTGAGTCGCTCTAATTATATTCTCAGCTTTTATCAACTAATAACCACAGGGTTGTGAAAATGCTATTTTCTTATCACATATGAGCCCGTACATCGCTTATTTGACTAACCAGATTTTGCTCTACCATTCTCGATGTTGTACACCTTCGACCGCACAGTGTGCATTTTTCCATAGGCCAGGCGGCCATTTGCTATAGAAACAACCCGAAAGCCTACAAACACTTTTTTCATAGATTTTCAAATATTTTCTCTTAAATGGTACGCTTTACAAAGTTCAAAGAGATTTTCATCTGAGTTCTTTAGATACCGGGTCTCCAGAAAACCTACACATAAGTATTCTGGAACGTTATAAAGCACATCGAGCGTTTCGTTAGATCCAACAAGTTTTTACTCAGAAAAACCTACTAACCGCACATTATTTGATGCAGTTTCTTGCGCTAATTCCGAATATGTCATTGCTGTGGAATGAAACCCTTTCTGGACTGGAAAAAATGGGAAATACCTGGAAAACCACGGTTTTCTTGGAGAACCCAAATCTAAGTCCAGAAACGTTTGTGCTGATTTGTGCTAATTGTATTGATAGAGGTTAGTTAGACGAATACTTTCACAAAGTTTTTTTGAATTTGGATCATGCCTAAGGATGGCGTGCTTATTTTACTAAGCTCAGTCAACGAAAAATCACTACAGAAAAATTTTCTTTTTTTCTAAACATTTATTAGCTCAAATTTAAATTATTTCTTACGAATCGATAGAGGACACAGAGTCAACTTCGAATATGTGCTGCTTTTGCCTACTTATTGGCTCAGTCTTACGCAAAAACTAAATTTTTTAATGGCAGGCGTGTTTTCAAGCTAATTTTTGATCGGCGAATTTTCCATCCTACTTGGCATCCGTAATGAAAACTTTTATACCATCACATAGAGCATGTCTTGAAGTATATTTACAGCCATTTGAATTGATGAAAAGTTTACTTTCGTTTTTTCACCTAACGTCCGTCTGGATGCACACTGTGGGCCGGTCTTTTGCTGAAAAACTCTAAGAACAAAATCTAAAAAGACTGTGTCGGAATTTCAGTTCGGTAACAGAAATACGTGATTGCGCCGTACAGAAAACATTTCTTCCATCTTTTTGTTTTTACTGCACTTTTCTTGCAATAAGAGTTTGTTTATGTATTCTCATTTACAAGAACAAGCACTGCGCTGACAAATCTCAATCTTTTGACACAAATTTTATATATAGAACTACTTTACAACAAAAACTTCTGTGGTGCACTGCTAGTACCAACAAAAACGGTTCTAATGCGCCTGATATGTTATCAATCACTGTGAATAACAAATATTAGAGCACACCCGTGTCTAGCAAGTGCCGCACTAGTATCGATATATTTCTACTAAAAGAATGCCTTAAATAATTCTGTTTCATGTTGTTTTAAGAAATCTCTCAGTATACAAACAAAAATACAGAAACAAATCTAAAATATTTTTTTGTATAGAAAAGTGAGAACGCAGTTTCGAAAATGGATGGCCAAACGGTGGGTTATTCAGTTGGAAACCAGTCAACAGCACTTTCGACCAATGATATAGTATTTGAAGAGCGATCGAAGCTAGCATCTTAAAATTGAAAGATAGATAACACTTTGAAAAAGCTGTAAATTAAATTCATCGAATCAACATTATCAAGAACACATTTTTCACTTCGAATATTTGGAAAAAATGATCTATCGGCGAGGCAAACATTGATAAAAATCAAAAAGCGAGACTTGCTTGCGGGAAAAAATGTTCACAAAATCACAGAAAAGTCGAAAATATTTGCTGTAACATTTGGTTTTTGTCGACTTTACCAGTCACGATCATTTGTTTTGTATAATGCATTGGTGTTTATGCAATTTTGAAGTCCAATATTCGTCAATATTCTTCTTTGGCTCTTCCCGTACTTCTTCGTATGTGTGCATGTCTCTTGGAAGTGACGTCAAAAAATCCGCACTTCTTTGTCTATTACTTCATTAAGAACTTTGTCCCGATCGCTTTGAACAGTTATTTGCAAAGGAAAACATGTAGTTGAACATGATGAACAGCTACTTGAACGTGTTCGTCTATTGATTGAACATCATCTTTGAACGTGTTCGTCTATTGATTGAACATCATCTTTGAACGGATACGATGATATGGACAAGTTCAAGATGTTTTTATTGCGATAGCAAAAGACAGAGATGGTTCTCTACTACTTTAGTAGGGATATGAATTGAGAGACATCTCACCTTTCAGATGCTTTCAATAAATCAAATTTTCGATTTCACCAGAACTAACTGGTTTTATTGTAGCTAATGGTAATGGAAGTATGTGACGTTGAAAATGTACTTTAGCTTGGAGATTGCGTGCATAGATTCTACATATATAATGGAGTATCTAGTGCAAAAGATAAAACTTATTATCAGATATCTTTTTTCGATTATTCAGAGAAATGTTTAATTATAGTTTTGTGCAGTTTTCAATTCAATAACAAAGTTTAGCTCAAATAACTTTTTTCTTATTGTTTATCCTTTCAGGTGAATGGTAACTCTTCCACAATTAATATTTGATATTCGTTTTATTCTTCCTGAATATAAAAGTAAAAAAGTTCGATAGTATTCAAATCTAAAACTATTGAATAACATATGAACAACATTGTACAAAGAGAGGGTGGTAACTGATATATTCAATTTTATTTTTCTCATTTATAACAAGTCATCATTGATTGCGTACAATTTGAAGAAAATATTCTAAAGCTTCACGTTCCAACATGTTTCTTCGAATATCAAGTTGTGTGAGAGGAAACGTTTCATGATCAATGAGATAGCATCACTGAAGAAGAGGACCGCTGCAATTCTACTTTCAGAGCGCCATTCCTTCTATCAGAAATGCTAAACGAAGTTAGTATCGATATGACATTGTTGTAGTTATATTCATTTCAGCTTTCGAGCAGCGTTTCGATCTTGAATTTTCAGTCTAAGCTCGCTGGACAATAAGCATTCGTCACTGTAAACACCATGTAGCACGCATGTAAGATAAAGCTTTTTCCTGACGGCGGCCCTTAAACACCACGACTATCACCATTCTTAACATATAGTGGTCAAATGGAAGCTGTTCATCTATTATCAGGTTTACTAGATATTTTAACGTGGTGCGAGTAATCAACTTCTGAGTAAGTCTAAGTTATTTGTTTGAGCTAAGTTGTTTGAACTAAGTTAAAATGTGTCGTGTGAACGTGGCTTTATAGGGTTAAATTAAGCTTTCTCTCAGTTTTGCCGTTACAGTGTATGGGATAGTCCATAATAGCGCGTGTTCTCCTGGGAGAACTGTTTCATTATATGAACAAACGATCGGGATTTCTCGAATAAACAGGAATTTATTCTGCCAGTCCTTCTTGATAAATGAGAGAGAAAAAGAAAGAAGGTCATGTTTGGTACAGATGCCGAGGATTTGTTATGAGTTCGAGATTGAACTCGAACCCAGTGCGGATGATTAGATATGCCTTCAGCTGTCTCGATATTTTAATTTCGACATCCGTACTTCGGACCTTCTAGACATATATTGATCATCATCTTTTTATATTTAATATTTTACTGATTGTGTAATAATTTTAACATCGAAAACGTATATACAATGTACAAAATATAAACTGTGTATGTAAATATAGCATTTTCATTCCGTTCGTAAAGCAGTTGATGTTTTTGAAGAATGCGAAAAAAATTTTCAGCCCATATCGCCAGACTAGAAACTTCTACTCACTGATCTGAGATTTCATATGACAGATATTTTTGTGGCAACAACAGTGTAGTATGACAATAAATTGTCCGCTTTTATTTACTCGGACACTTTTGGTTTAGATGAACGATGCTTTATTTAGGACGAGTTTAGGATACTTTTTTGTCGGCAACTGAAAGAGAATGATCACAAACATTTATTGTTCACTTTTTTGGTCTACCAAACTTTTTTCTCTAGACATACGTATGAAGAGAATTAAGATTGGCGTTCTATTCATTATGTTCGTATATCATTTGCACAGCTCAAGATTTCTAGCAAAACTTTTATATCTTTCAACTCGTTCAGACACTCCTGGGGATTGACCAAGTCAATACTATAAACAGTTGGTCAATCCCCAGGAGTGTCTGAACGGTGTCATTTCGAAGTCGGTTAGGATTTGGATTAAACATAGTTAAAAAGTGTCGTGTGAACGTGGCTTAAAACTCAATGTCCACTAGGATGGACATCAGTGAATATCGTAGAATTACTACAACTAGTTTTCTGTATCAACTTCATCGTCATCCTCTCCATGTTTTTTATTTCCACCGCCGCCACCTTCAGCAACTGCTTTCTTTTTGCTACCTTCACTAAGGAGCAGTTTTTTAATCTGTTCTGCTCGATTAATATAACTTTCAGCTTTTTTAGTAATCATCAGTTTTGTGTCTTCATTCATATTTCCATCTAGATAAATAAAAACAGAAAACATCTTAAAATATAGAATGTTTTCTAACCTTGACCACTGTTTCTGATTCTGACCACTGTTTCCGATCGTTTGTTCATATAATGAAACAGTTCTCCCAGGAGAACACGCGCTATTATGGACTATCCCATACACTGTAACGGCAAAACTGAGAGAAAGCTTAATTTAACCCTATAAAGCCACGTTCACACGACACATTTTAACTTAGTTTAATCCTAATCTTTCCAATCTCGTCCCGTGTGAGTGCACTCAGTTTGTTAACTTAGTTTAAGAACTCAGTCTGGCAATTTACCAACCTGGTTAAGTTAAGCAAGTTTATAGAACTCGGTGAAGGACCCCCTATTAAACATCGATCAATCAGTGATTAGCTACATGTTATATACATCCATTATGGTCAAATAACTTATGCAGTTCGTAGCGCAGTTGTAGCTCATACTGCGTCCCGTAAATTATTCCAGGAGGTAATTTTCATTCTACATTACGAAGAAAAGCACCACAAGTGTCACTGCTTCTTTACACCATACTGCTGATTGTTTACTGTCGATACCGAACCACACGCAAAGTAATCCTTTTGTCTGAAAACTCCAGTTTAAGAAACATGTCAAAGAGACTGAAAGGAAAGCAGCTGCACGATCAGGAGTTCTTCAGCGCATATCGAAAAATTCGGACAACAGTCGGAAACAACTGTTATGCGTTTATAATTCCCTGATTCAATTAATACTAACGTACGGTTCAGCAATATTTTAAGATATTGAAATCATCTAACTATCGTACAAAATACAGGATTTAGGGGGATGTTGTTCAGCTCCCATTTATACATCGCAAGAAAATGTCCGTCAATTGTTATATCAGTTAACAACCTATGAATTAACTGTAAAGAGTAAACACCGAAATATCTCAACAATGCAGTCATATCAGGGAATCAAACGACGAAGTATTTGCCAAAACAATACTATAGACCAATAAGGATCTACCATTAACACCTTGTAAAAAGTGAAAAAAATTAAAACTTGATGAAAAAACAATGATAGAGTAAAAGACTTACGTCATGAGCATATTGAAAACAATTATCTTATTTAGAAATAAATAAGACCTTCTCCCAAGCCTATCGAGACAAACTACTGTGTTAGGCTCAAGCTGTAATTGAACCTGAAATGAACAATTCATCTAGATTGTATTATGTGCTCAAAGCAGAAAACAGGTAATATGATGAAATCAGCGCCCCAATTATCTGAAGAAAACTTCTTTAGATTAGGATGTTACTCTACTCTAAATCTTTGCTTTTCGGCGTAATCGGCTTCAAAAATCGATGTGTTGAACAGGAAATAACATTTGCAAAAACAAACTTACTTTGTTGAAATAATTCTTTAATAAACTGCTAAATAAAGCTTTAAGCATCCCGAAATGGTTTTTTTACGTAACTGTCAAAAAGACGTTTACTACGAATGAATCCTACTTCACTAAAAAAAGAATCAGCAATTTAAAACAACATACACGATATTCATTTAGAACTATTAAAAACGAATTGAAATAGATACATGTACGTGAGTCATGAGAAGAGATTTTTCTCTTTCTGATGCTGATCTTTTTGTTGAAGTTTTCAGAAAATTTTATCCTGTTAGAATGTCAAACCTTTTGATTAAAATACTGTGAGACTGCCAAAATTCAGTTGCCTGGAAAAGTGTAATCAATCTAAAATGTGTGGGACTCAATATCCCACATCGTCAGAAAATATTAGAAGTCTTATCTAAAACAATCAGATCTTGCGGACGAACACGAGACATCGATGATGGCACTCAACTATCTTATAATAGTATCTTATAACAGTGACATACGGTAGCGCCACCAAGCACTTTTCTCATTAAGGACTAATTGTCCGAAAAATTTGATCACTGCAAATAGAATATTTTATTATTTTGGCATATAGTTGAAGTCTCTATTCAGTGAATTTGACTCCCACACATTAAAAAAGAGATGGCGCTTATTTGCGATCAACTGTATGAATCATAAACTGTCAAGCCACACACTACTAGAAAGTGTCGGCGTCAGATTTATTTAGGCTACCTTAATCGTTTTTTTATTTCACCTTACCTGCAGCTAGTTATTTTGATCCAGCAAGGATCTTTCTAATTTTCATCAACCCTAATACAAATGAAGCAGACAGAATATCTAATCCAACAAAACATCATTCGTGGGCCTCACCATATTTTCATAAAACTTCTAGTAAATTTATTTTCGTTCCTTTCTATTCATGCGTGATTTAGGTGATAGGTCATTTGTAGATGAGACGAATCTTTTGACATTTCAGTTTAACTACAGTATCTATCAATGCACTCAAAGCGCTGTGTGTATTGAGGCCCCGAGTCTCCATAAGAAATGGCTGCTAAAAGGGCCAAGCATACTTATTAGGTTTATCTTTGGCGGACATCTACCAGTGAGGACGATGTGTTTAACATAAAAAGAACTTATCTTAAAGATCAGCTTCGTTGTTAAAGTTGGCTTGGGTAACGCACAATCTAAGATTGCGTTCTCACCTTATCACTCCATAAATGAGTCATACTGTGACGCGTAAAAATGAGATAAAATACGTCTTTTATTCATTCTTTTTGTTTTTGTCTGAAAAGTCAACGATGATGTGATCGTTGTTTTCAGATGTATTGCTCAATTTATGAACAAGCTTAATAAATTTTAATTTGAAATTTTTTCTAGAATCAGAAACATGGCTAGTGGTCAAGCCGATTATATTAAGGTGAGAAGACAGATTCATCAAAAATTATTCGGATATTTCTTAAATTTCGTTTTCGTTTCTAGAAAGGAATTGCTTTTGCTGATATAGCTACAAAAGAAGATGAACAAAAAAATTATAAAAAAGCATCTGAAAATTATATGTCCGCTGCAGAATGGCTTCTGCTAGCAAAAAAACGTAAGATTTATTAGGTTAGAAAACATGCCATATTTTAAGATATTTTCTGTTTTTATTTATCTAGATGGAAACATGAATGAAGACACAAAAGTGATGATTACTAAAAAAGCTGAAAGTTATATCAATCGAGCAGAACAGATTAAAAAACTGCTCTTTAGTGAAGGTAGCAAAAAGAAAGCAGTTGCTGAAGGTGGCAGCGGTGGAAATAAAAAAAATGGAGACGATGACGATGAAGTTGATCCAGAAAAGAAAAAAATGGCCCAAAAATTTGCGGGTATTAAGGAAGACATTTACATAAATTCTTTCAAGGTGGTTTTACTATTTTTTTTTCAAGGCTCCATTGTTTCTGAGACAAAAGTTTCATTTAACGATGTCGTTGGCTTAGATCAGGCCAAAGAAGCTCTGAAAGAAGCTGTTATATTACCAATCAAATTTCCACAGTTATTTACCGGTAAGGCCCACTACTCGGAAATAAGTTTGGATGTTTTCACTTGCTCTTATATGTGAGTTTGAACCACGTTGAGACTTTATAAACAGGTCTTTCGTAGTATAAAAACGGCGAGTAAGCTTGGACATTTGTAACAATAACCTTTTCCGTTTATACGAGGTCGGTAATGTATCTCGTGTTTTCAGGTAACAGAAAACCGTGGGCTGGAATATTGCTGTACGGAGTAAGTGGTTCGATAATCTATCGTTTTTGAGATTATTGGTATGTTTTTGGTTTCCTTTTCAGCCACCTGGCACTGGAAAGTCTTATTTAGCGAAAGCGATAGCGACTGAATGTAAAAGTACATTTATATCTGTCAGCTCAGCGGATTTATTATCAAAATGGCTTGGAGAAAGTGAAAAATCCGTTCGATATG